AAAGAAAGAGAGAGGGAAGGAACTGAGGAGAAATGGTGCAAGAGAGGGCACAAGGGGGGATGAGAGGAATTGAGAAGAAAAACGACCTAAAGGTGAATGAGGGGTGTGTGTGTGTGTGTGTGTGTGTGTGTGTGTGTGTGTGTGTGTGTGTGTTTGTGCTGTAAATATATGAATAACACAGCATCATGCCACCATTGAAATATCTTCTCTATATATATATATATATATATATATATATATATATATATATATATATATATATATATATATATATATATATATATATATATATCTTCACATCGCAGCCAATTGTGCGCCGGCCACATGTTATGAAACTGTTAACAACTCAGAATAGCTACTAAGCCAGATGGAGCTGGTAGCAGCTGTGTGACTGCCTGAGGGGCAGTCTATCGCCGTCTACTGTAAAGGCAACATCTTGATTCTCGTCACAATATCTTCCTGTAGGATTATATTTGTTCTCGTTGGCCTAACCCTACACCCCAAAACGTCAGTGTGAACTGTTGAATCCTCTGAGAACTCTAAATAACTTTAATAAGTGCAATTATGAACTGTATATTGATCGTATTATTCAAACTGTGTCCTGATGTACCAGCAGTTGTTATATGTGAATTGTATTCAACAGGTTTTGACCGAATTATACTCATCGCGTCAACGACAAGGGTCTTATTGTCCTGCACAAACCAAAATCGCTCTTATGAGCGATTACACACTTTCTCTCTCTCTCTCTCTCTCTTTCACCTAACTCCTTTATTTCCTGAAAGAAAAAAAAGTCCCTGTTCCCTTCTGCCTCATAAGTGCTCATAAAGGTAAATTGACCCTGGCGTGGGTACCTGCCTTGAGGTCTAGGCATGGCTACCTGGCACTGGTTGGATTCACCTGGTTGTTAGAAGTGTATTTTGTATCGAGTCTTGTTATTGGTCAGGGTGTCGTAGTCTTCATCTGATGGGTGGTGATGGAGAATGTACCTGATGGGTGGTGATGGAGGATGTACCTGATGGGTGGTGATGGAGGATGTACCTGATGGGTGGTGATGGAGAGTAACTGATATGGTGATGAGTGTACTGATGGGTGGTGATGGAGTGTACCGATGGGTGGTGATGGAGAGTGTACCTGATGGGTGGTGATGGAGAGTGTACCTGATGGTGGTGATGGAGAGTGTACCTGATGGGTGGTGATGGGGGTGTCCCTGATCGGTGGTAATGGGAGGTTGTACCCGATGGGTGGTGATGGAGGATGTACCTGGATGGGTGGTGATGGAGGGTGTCCCTGATGGGTGGTGATGGGGGTGTCCCTGATGGGTGGTGATGGAGGATGTACCTGATGGGTGGTGATGGAGGATGTACTCCATGGTGGTGATGGGGGTGTCCCTGATGGTGGTGATGGAGGATGTACCTGATGGTGGTGATGGGGGGGTGTCCTGATGGGTGGTGATGGAGGATGTACCTGATGGGTGGTGATGTGGGGTGTCCCTGATGGTGGTGATGGAGGATGTACCTGATGGTGGTGATGGGGGTGTCCCTGATGGTGGTGATGGGAGGATGTACCTGATGGGTGGTGTGATGGAGGATGTACCTGATGGTGTGGTGATGGGGGGTGTCCCTGATGGGTGGTGATGGAGGGGTGTACCTGATGGGTGGTGATGGGAGGATGTACCTGATGGGTGGTGATGGAGGGTGTACCTGATGGGTGGTGATGGGGGGTGTCCCTGATGGGTGGTGATGGAGGATGTACCTGATCGGTGGTAATGGAGGGTGTACCTGATGGGTGGTGATGGGGATAGTATCTGATTGGCCTAGGACATCATGTGAACATCCGGAAGGAGAGAGTCTTAGGACTGAATATTAACAACCTCAGTGGTGGCCCAGCATCCTGCCAATGTGGTGGTGTAACCCTCTAGCTGCATCAGTACCTGCCCGGCTACCCTGTACCATAGGAGGAGGAAGTGTGTGAGTGAGTGTGTGTGTGTGTGTGTGTGTGTGTGTGTGTGTGTGTGTGTGATAATACCTGTACTTTACCTGTATCTCTACTGTTATTTCTCAACTGAAAAACCGTCGTGAAAGGAAACATCTTTGAGGAGATGAACTCACCCATGGCAACGTGTGGCAGGCAGTGTTGTGATTGGCTGAGAGACAACCAGGTGTACGAGAAAAATATAATTGGAGCCCCTAAGCCCTGGGTGGAGGCGGGGCCCCCACCACAGGAACCTTGACCCTTGACGTAGCCCAGGGCTTCAGACTGCACGTAGGGCGAGGCTGCCAATCTACCAGGTAGCCTCAGCCTCGGGGTTCTGCCAGATACACCTGGATCAGTCTTTGCTCCCCACCTGAGCATGATAATCTGTCACTTTTTGTATTGTTACGGTAGTCTTAGTGTTATACTGTCTATTGTTACGGTAGTCTTTAGTCTTATACTGTCGCTATTGTTACGGTAGTCTTAGTGTTATACTGTCGCTATTGTTACGGTAGTCTTAGTGTTATACTGTCGCTATTGTTACGGTAGTCTTTAGTCTTATACTGTCGCTATTGTTACGGTAGTCTTAGTGTTATACTGTCGCTATTGTTACGGTAGTCTTAGTGTTATACTGTCGCTATTGTTACGGTAGTCTTTAGTCTTATACTGTCTATTGTTACGGTAGTCTTAGTAATATAATGGCTATTGTTACGGTAGTCTTAGTGTTATGTTTCTGCCGTTTATTGTTACGGTAGTCTTTCGTAGTCTTATACTGTCGCTATTGTTACTGTAGTCTTAGTGTTATACCGTTCATTGTTACGGTAGTCTTAGTGTTATACTGTCGCTATTGTTACGGTAGTCTTTAGTCTTATACTGTCGCTATTGTTACGGTAGTCTTAGTGTTATACTGTCGCTATTGTTACGGTAGTCTTTAGTCTTATACTGTCGCTATTGTTACGGTAGTCTTAGTGTTATACTGTCTATTGTTACGGTAGTCTTAGTGTTATGTTATCGCTATTATTACGGTAGATCGGGTAGAGTCTCAGTTCAATTTCAATGCCATATTTACCTTAGTCTTAATATAGCGTTAGTGCAGGTATGTATCAATTAACCTATACTTACGTTCTCAACACCTCCGAATACCGTACGGATAATCGTACTCAAGAGAGAGAGAGAGAGAGAGAGAGAGAGAGAGAGAGAGAGAGAGAGAGAGAGAGAGAGAGAGAGAGAGAGAGAGAGAGAGAGAGAGAGAGAGAGAGAGAGAGAGCCACAAGGGGGTTCAATAATGTGTCTCCCGATGGTCCACGTGAACTGGTCTTTCTGGTCTGGCGGTGTTTGTTGTCATGCACCGTCTTATTAATCCCTGAAGATGTTATTTGGCTTTGAGTTATTTCCTTCCTTCCTTCCCTTACTCCTACCTCCCCTTCCCCTCCTTCCTTCCCTCCCTCCCTCTTTCTCTTCCTTACCTCCTTCCTTCCTTCCTTTCCTTTCCTGCCTCCTCTTCCTTTTTTCACTCTCTCTTACCTTTCCTTCCTTCCCTCCTTCCTTCCCCACCTACCTTTCCTTCCTTCCTTCACTCCTTCCCTTCCTTCCTTGTCCTACCTTTCCTTCCATCCCTCCTTCCTTTCCTTCCCAATTTCCTTCTCTTCCTCTTTTCTTTAACTCCTTCCTCATTCCTTTCCTTCCGTCACTCATTTTCTCCCTTCCCTTATTTCCTTTCGTTCCTTCCCTCCCTCCCTCCTTCTCTTCATTTTCTTCCCTCATTCCTTCCTCCCGCCCTTTCTTCTCTCCTAGTCTTTCTCGCTTCTGTCTGTCCACCTGTTTTTATTATTTCTAACGATGAGAGAGTGTTAATATCAAGGCGAGAATATGTGTGTGTGTGTGTATATACGTGTGTGTATGTGTGTGTGCGTGTGTATGTGTGTGTGTGTGTGTGTGTGTGTGTGTGTGTGTGTGTGTGTGTGTGTGTGTATATGTGTGTGTGTATAGTGTGTGTAGTGTTATTTTATTTGATGATTCACCAAATATCATAAAGACAGTGTCAATATAATATCTCATTAGACCTGAGATTCACCTGGTATCTTGTTCGTGACTACCATTTACAGAGCTACCGTTTACAACTACCATTTACAGAGCTACCGTTTACAACTACCGTTTACAGAGAGCCACCGTCTTCGACTACCGTTTACGTACAGAGCTATCGTTTACAGAGAGCCACCGTTTCTGACTACCGTTTACAGAGCTACCGTTTACAGAGCTACCGTTTACAGAGCCACCGTTTCTAACTACCGTTTACAGACAGCTACCGTTTATGACTACCGTTTACAGAGAGCCACCGTTTATGACTGCCGTTTACAGAGCCACCGTTTATGACTACCGTTTACAGAGCTACCGTTTACGACTACCTTTTACAGAGCTACCGTTTACAGAGCCACCGCTTATGACTACCGTTTACAGAGCCACCGCTTATGACTACCGTTTACAGACAGCCACCGTTCACTAGACCATACCACGAGGTGAAAATAATCATTGCAATTAATCTTTAGCTGTAGTTCAATCGGTATCCTGATTACCCAAACCGTATCAGATTAACCCTGGCAGCTATCAGTTCCTTAAGCTACTGGCCGTCTCGAGGTAAGTAGGAGATTTTCAGGGAAGTTACAGTGTTGTGTGTTGGGAAAGTACCACACAAGCTATTAAACTCCTGGAATCTCAAGTCATTACAGTGTCTAAGTGTTTTGTCCGTTTACCAATACGTAGCAGTGGTCTAAGTAACTTATTATTATTATTATCGAATATAAGTTGAACGAATCCAGAATGACTTTTAACTCACATATTTCTATCAAGGTTAATTTCAAGATGAGCAGAACCGTATTTAACTTTTTTTTTAATTTAAACATTATTCTCAAAGGAAAAGATATTTAGTGTACACAGAAAAATAACTTAACCTAACCTTACCTCGCATTACCACAGGGATTGTAATTAGATAAGTCTACCTTCACGTAACCATGTGTCGTTTTCTGTTTCAGATCTTCCTAAGGGATGGGAGCGCGGCGTAACCCCAGAAGGCATCCCCTACTATATCGAGTGAGTACCTGCTAGTAATAGAGAGATAAATAGAACCTGCTAGTTATATACTGTAGTAGAGAGATAAATAGATTGCTATTTATTCAGTAAAATTGTCATACAAGTTATCAATGGTTTAGTATATATGTATATAAACAATACAGGCATACAATACAGGCATACAATACAGGCATACAATAGATAACAGGTTTACAATATACTCAGACCATACAGGTATACAACATACTGTACATAAATAATACAGATATACAATATACATAAACAATAACAGGTATACAGACAAAGTAGCTAGACAATGGCTGTAATAGATTATACTGTTTGTAATGCTTTTTGAATTTGCTGTCTTATTATTATTTTAGTGGTAAATATAACAAAAATTTTACCGTTTGTTTGTTAACGACTTGGCGGTCATATATTAACTGTGTGTGTGTGTGTGTGTGTGTGTGTGTGTGTGTGTGTGTGTGTGTGTGTGTAACAAGGGTCCTTAGTAAGAATGAAAACACACCCTTGTGGAGGAGGAAATAACACATCTGCCTAACATAGGGAGGTGGGGGGGTTGAGTGTCCCTGGTCAGTGTAATGTGTGTGTGTGTGTGTGTGTGTGTGATTGTCCGCCCTCCCTCCCTACACAATGTGGGTGTTGACCTCGTCCAGGGCACCAGATATGCACCCACCCTTGACCCCCTCACTCCTGATAACCTCTTGCACTCAGGTCGTAGCCAGTCAGGGGTGATACATCTGGGTAAAGTCTTTAAAGTATAATATTAAAATAATTGGTATTATAATTTATGTTATTAATAGAATAAAGAAACAACAGTACAGACATTAATAGAAGTACAGGTACAGGTACAAGTAGAGGTACAGATACAAATACAGGTAGAGGTGGAGGTACAGATACAGATAGAGGTACAGACAGGTACAGATACAAGTACAGGTATAAGTATATCTATTACAGTACAATAGACACACGGCACCGGAGTTAGTGATCACAATATCTAAGAGGTTTAAGTGGGACGCAGCAGGTGAAAGCCATACAGGTGCACGGTACTCGATAGTGGATAATGCTAATTGGATCACCTGATGATTCGCTTCCCCCTCCAGCTTACTTCACCTGATGATTCGCTCCCCCCTCCAGCTTACTTCACCTGATGATTCGTCCACAGTCTAAACTAACGTTACCAGAGGAAGTTAGGTCAGGTTTGGTTAGGTTAGGTCAGAATAGGTTAGCTTAGTGCGATGGTGGTTAAGTTAGGTTAGGTTAAGTTAGGTTAGGTCAAGATAGGTTAGGTTAGGACAGGATAGGTTAGTTTAGTGTTATGGTGGTTACTCGTCAGGTGAAACGAGCTGGGGGTTAATCTTTAGGTGATTCTATTGATTAAATGAAACCAGTTTTGCTATTACAGTCGTCAATGAAAAACTTTAACCATAAACAAATAATGGTCAGTAATGGGTACGGTTAGTGCTATGATGCGGGTGTATACATCAAAACACCAGTTAACACCTGTACTACCACGAGTCCTTAACGATAACAACTTACCTTTATAACATTGTTGAACCAGATATTATCCTGGTATACAAGGTTTTAGTTAAGCTCTACCTACCTGTTATATTGACTACCTGTAAATTAAGGACAACACCTGGATATTAATGGGTAAAAAACATCCTCAATAAACACTCCATACTTCACTGATTACTGTTTCGCAATCTAGTTTTTAAGGTGCAGTGGACTCATCAAGTACACTCGAGTCATCAGGCACTGGCACTAATAGCACTAGAGCTGGCACTGTGATCACGAGACCCACTGTGAAGAGAGAAACACATACGTCAACAACACACGATTACCCAGACACATGAGTGAGGTGTGTAAACTGTGTGTCACAAGTTTTACGACCATGACTCCGTGACGCAGTTGGGAGTCATTCTGTGTGGGAGGTGATGATCGAGGATTTGGTAATAATAATTTAAGCGCATATCAATAACTAAGGTCTTTAAGCGTCTATTATAGGTTAGTTAAATGAGAGACTTTGAATGACTGTCAGTTTATTAAGCAGTCAATTTGGAGTACTGTTAATGAACGTACAGGCTACAGACGTAAGGTGAATGAGATTAGAGTTAAGTTAAATTAGGTTTTACAGGTTATCGTGTTCTCTGAGTAGGCCGTGGGACCTCTTACACCGGGAGACATAGATGACTGATTCGTTATGTCATGTTCTCGACTCATATAACATTAAACAACGCAGCTATAACGAAATAATTAATAAAGAGATGTATTTACTCTTCTTTTTTTCGTGAGATATGAAGGAATTCTGTTTAGGTGATGTCAGGCACTGGAGTCAAAACAAACGGTAGGGGGACTGTCAGTTGGTGCGCATGCGTCGCCTTCCGCCAACCAAAACAATAAAATTTCAAGGGTGTGTTGTGTGTGTGACATTATCGTGGCATGGGGTTGACACACACACACACACACACACACACACACACACACACATTAATTCGTATATTCTGTATATCTGAACAATTATAATCTACATATTTTAACTTACCCAAAATTGAACTGTATTAAAACAGTTTATTTAGGTAGAAAGTTACGGATAATATTATTCAGTAATAATAATATCGTCATGGTCGAGTCTTTGGGAGCTGAAGCTTCGTTTCATTAATGCAGAAACAATATTATTTGGAGTTTTTTTTTCATTTACTTCATTGTCACAAAGAAAGAGGGGATCAGCTAAAGATTAGATACCTCTGGTTATTTTACCTGAATATGAAACACCAAACCTAACCTCACCTAACCTCACCTCACCTCACCTCACCTCACCTCACCTCACCTCACCTCCAAGTAACATTAAGGGTGTTTAATCACCACGTGAAACAAGCTGATGTGTCTAATCTTCAACTGATTCAAACCTTTTACAACTTTTTTATCTTCGTCGTTTGTGATGCCCCTCAGGTCATGCGTTCATTCATAAACAGTGTCGCTGTGAGACTGGCTTGGCCTTGGGGTGTAGTGATTGGCAGGCCTGGGAGTGAGTGAGGGAGGGGCGGGGGGGGGTTAGGTTGGTATTCCTGGTACATTGAGACGCTGGAGGTAAATAAACAATGGTTGACTGCTTGCCTCGACAGTCTACACCAGGACCCGCCCCACGCCAGTCCCAACCGCGCCCGTTTACCATACCACGCCTTCATACCAGTGCTTTTTGTTATTACTCACCCACGCCCACACTGTAACTCACTGTACACACACACACACACTTTATAGAGCCGCGTGTTCAGTGGTGCTCAAGAGAGGTTAGGTTTGGTTAGATTAGGTTAGGTTTGGTTGGTTTGGTTAGATTAGGTTAGGTTTCAGGGAGGAAGATAAAGAGGGAAGTGATACAAATTGAAATTATATGAAAAACAATTATAAACTAAGACAAAAAATGAATAAGTCATTAAAGAAAGATTGATAGATATATAAATAGACAAACATATGAACAACCATATACAGAGAAACAATGAATAATAGTAAAAATAAAATGAATAAAAAGGATAAGAGTAGAAATAAATTGAAAAATAAATAAGGTATTCGAAAACACTACCAAAGCCATCTTGAATGTGACGTCACAAATCCCAGAATGCACCGCGGTCCTCTTCTCCAGCCCTCACCATCACCCCCCCCCCTTTATCACCCTTCACCCCTTTCCTCCGAGGGTTCAGTGTTGCCAGACAGGTTGCAGACTCCCTGGGGGTCAGGTCAGAGGTCAAACGAGTGAGGAACGCTGCGAGTCCATATAAGGCTTTAGTGGTTGGTTACTATGGCATTGTTGTTATGTTGTATTTTGGAATCACGTGAAGATTAGCCTCCCACCCGGTTTATTTAACTGGTGATTAAACTCCTTCATGCTAACCTAACCTAATCTAACTAATTTAACTTAGCCTAACTGAACCTAACCTAACCCCATCCCCCCCACACACACTGGATTATTCACATGATAAACTGAGAAACTTAAGACTTGTCTGTTGAATTATGTAACAAACGGAAATCCCTGTGTGTGTGTGTGTGTGTGTGTGTGTCGCCATCCCCCATGAGGATTGGCCAGGCCTTCATGTCGGACCCTCACATGAGTACAACCCCTGTCCCAGCGTCTGTCTGTTGCAGTCCTGGTTGGGGGTGTGGGGTGGGGGTGGTGCTGGGTTAGGTGGGGGTTAATGGGGGCACGATAAAAGGGATGGTAGAGAAGTGGGTAAGAAGGGAAAGGGAGGGGGTGGCACAGATGAAAGGGGAGAGAGTCATTATGTTCTTCACAGTGGGTCTTTCATAGGTGAGCAAAGTGTGGAGTGGGTGACTGGTGCTGGAGGGTGACAGGAGGTGGACAGAGATGTGTGTTGCTCATCCCGAGGAATGTTTACTCCGAGGGGTGACGCTGATGACAGTAAGAGGAGATCCTGTCGTGACGTCGTGTGGTCATCGGGCAGCCAGGGATCATAATTCTCGTATATTTTCAATGTTTTTCTTCTCTGTTTAGGTGGAGAACCAGAACAATGTTAAATGAGAGATTACAGAGATCTTTTCTCATTGCTGACACTGAGTAATACGTGTGAGTGCAGTAGAGGTCGAGGCGTATGACCCAAGTACCTCCAGGTGTACTTTTATTTAGTTACCTTGGCCTGGATTTTCGGGTGGGTTTGGCGTCGACGCTGGGGGAGGTATTTGGTTGACGTGTCCCAGGAGGTGAGATGAGTGGAAGAACGGATTGTTTATACTGAGTGACATGAGATAATGAACACAGGTAATAGTGTAGGTGTTGAGGTTGTGCTTTTGTGTTTATGATGACGATGAAGAGGCTGAGAACACCTCTTTTGTTTATGACTTGATCGAGGTTTTTAATAATGGAATAATATCCATAGAAAAGGACTCGAGGTTGTATATATATAAATAATCAGTAATTCATGTGAGGAGCTGCCCTTGATGTCTGTGTGAGTGAGGTCCTCCAGGATTATACATAGTGGCCTTGTCAAGAGAGCTCC